AAATTTGTTTCAAAAACGTATTTCTCTAGAAATTCAAGAAAATTTAGCACAAGTTATGACGTCGTTTCGTTTACAGTCTCCAGATTTAGTTGCAAATACACGAAATATGTTTGAATGTAGAATCTTAATTTCAGGAATTACACTTTTTAGTTTCCCAACATTTGAAAAGTACTATATAAGCTATCAAAAGAAGAAGAATAGAATATGCCTTTTGTTGTTATTTTATGCAAATTAATTACATTTTATATTTAGTGCATTACTACAGAATCTAGAGTACGTGTCAACAAAATGATGTCACAAATTGGGCTTAATTTTCTTTCCAAATTTCATTATGGTATATTTATTATTACTAACAAACAATACATTTTAAATGATGAAATGTTTTTGTGGCATATACTCTTTAATCAGTTTGGAATTTGTGAATATTTTTGACACTAATATAAGGCTAATTATATAATTAAAAGAAATAAAAATAATAAAATAATAATAATAATAAATAAATAGAATTTGACAGTTGCACTTCCACTGATTGCCTCTTCACACACCAAATTCAAATTGGAATAAGCCTGAAGCGAGATGACGTTTTACCCCCGTCTCTTGACCATAATCCTTTTCACACTGCTTTTGTTCTTTAATTATGACTATTGTTCCTGTATTCTCTAAGGAATCAAAACTTTTAATATGGAAGAATTTGAAAATTATGGTATAGAGTCGGGGGTAAAACGTCATCTTGCTTCAGGCTTATTTAGAAGTTAATTTTTGCCGAAAGAATAAAATTGGATTGCCTGGAGAAAAAGCCATTGAAGCACAGTAGAGAACCAACAAACAACTCTGCTGACAAACAACACCCAGGCAAGGAGTTGAACTCGGGTCACCTTGCAATGTGGGAGGTGATGCAATAGCAGCCCACACATCCCGTGCTCCTCAATAAAAGTAAAAGCCCAGTAGGACTTGAAACCAGGTCGTAATGATGAGAGACAAATCATTAGCAGAGCACAGTAATTGTGCTTCTCAAAGTACAGTAACTACATGTAGATATATCAACATACCTTTTTAGTCATTGTAGCAGAAAATAAACATGTTCTTCTCTCTTTTGGTATTACTTTTAATATTTTATCAACCTAAAACACAAGTATGTATTTAAATCAAAATCAAGGTCATATTTCAAGGGTTTGTAAAAGTGTCTTACTGCAAAAGCACTTGGACAGAGAACCCAGAGAAGAACCCTTGGATGAAAGTATAGATGTACAAACAACTGCTACACCACCCTTTGATTCCCAAGACTCGAAACTAAGGATAATCCCAACATACATGTACATATACTTTTCTTCATACCTCTGTTTCAAAATCCATGTTGAGTATTCTATCAGCTTCATCCATGACCTAGAGATAATTTGAGAAGCATCATGAGATTCATCGTACACTGTCAATGAATGAAGGAACGAGCGAACCAACCAACCAACGAATGATTTCATTCTTTAAACAGTAAGCCAATGTCACAATAAGTGATTTTAAAAAGGGCACTCCACATATAAGACTATTAAAATACAAGGATATTAAAAAATAAATAAAATAAAATAAAACTTTATTTAAGTGAAAATGTATTTAGTTTATGCAACTAATTGGGGACACTCAAATGAGATGAAATGAAGAAATAATCAAAGAAACATAAAGTGTTTTAAGAATCCCAACTGACAAGGAGGCAAACCTGTAGGCTATTTACAAGCATGGTCAAGAAAATGAATTTGAACTAATTAGAAATCAGGACAAATACAGTCTCAGCTAGTGGCCACAGCAGGACTCGAACTCAGCACCACCGGATTGCAATATTTTATTGAAATATAAAAGCCTAGGCTAAGTCATAGGCTAAAAATTTAATAAATAAAATAATATATAAATATAACATGTATACAAAGAAAAGAATAATAAAAATTGAACTATATGTATAGCGCCCAAACATTGAATGCATTAAAATAGAATCAAAAGACTGCCTGGCAAACATGCACTGACAATCTGCAGGCGTTTCCCAAGGCAAACTCTAATATTAACTTGGCAGCTCAGTTGGTAAGAGCATTGGTCCGTTATACACAAGATTCTTGTGGTTCAAGTTTCAGAGAACCTGGAGAAAAACCTTCAAAGCACAGGAGAGAACCAACAACCAACTCTACTCAATACATGTACGACATTGAGCCCGGTGAGACGAACTTGGTTCAACTCTACACAGGTCCCATTGGTGAGAGGTGAGCTCTGTCACTGCTATGCCAATATTGTTCCTCTTATTTCGTTATAAACTGCATGAAGTCAGTTCTGATTTGCCTTCACTCATGCTCGATGACACAACTTCATGCATATTGTTTATTTACTTTATTTAATATTGACTTTCATACTTTATGCTTTTACTAACCAGATATCGCAGTGATCTGAGACTGAAACCTTTGGTATTTTCTAAATGATCCACTAGTCGACCAGGAGTAGCTACATGTAAGATAATACGCCAAATGTTAGTATACTTCACAGAATTAGGGCAGAATACACAAGTTTCATCTTCATTTATTACACATTTAGAGTCGAAATCACTGTGATGAATAACAACAATTATATTATGAAACAATAACATGCTCTTAACACGTAAAAATCTTTATTTTATTATAAATGTCGTTTGTAATAATAAATAATAATAGGACTAACTGTGAATTCCACAGAGTGGCCCTTCTTCTACTGGATTTCAATTGGAATTTAGAAGTTGATTTTTGTGGAGGGAGGAAAGCCGGAGAACCCAAAAAACCCTCAAAGCACAGGAGAGAACCAACAAACAACTCAACTCACACACGACACCGAGCTCATCGGGAATCGAACCCGGGTCGCATTGGTGAGAGGCAAGCGCTCTCACCGCTACCCCACCCATACTTTGTATGGTTCAAATCAAATGGGATGTACAGTTAGTATTATATTTCCACGAAGTGACTCCTTGAAAATAGAATTTAGAACTGCTGGTTTTTATGCAGGAAGGAAAGCCATAAACCTGTAGAAAAAGTCTTGAAGAAAAAGAGAACCAGTCTGTATTCTACTCACAGTACAAAACAAGACAATGACTTACCAATAATAATATGCGGTTTCTTTGCCAACATTAATGACTGCGACATAATATCAATACCACCAACTATGACCGCTAAATGTAAACCACATAAAAACAATTAACTAAATTCATAACTTCACAGAATATGGAAAACTGTATTAGCTAATGCATTCTAGTGTGTTAAGTTAATAACTTCCAACGATTTATATGCAGAAATATTCTTTGGACATTGTTACTCAACTAGATTAGCTTTATAGTTATTTTGAGTAGCATTTACTTTTCTTTTGTATTAATTTTCTATTGTGCAGTGTAAATATTTATAGTATAAGTAATAAAAATGATTGATTGATTGATTGATTGAAGTTTTCCAATCTAAGGCTCAATGTCTCTCTTACTCCTTAGGGCGCTTGGCTGCCCCTGTTATATAGTATTTTATAAACACTGGTATTTCTTACCACATTTCACTCCAATCCCAGATCCAAGAGCTTCAAACTGTTCTGATATCTGGAATGCCAACTCTCTTGTTGGTGTTAAAATCAAGGCAAACAATCTCTGTGGTGAGTCAAGAAGTGCCTGTAGTATTGGGAGAGCAAAGGCTCCTGTTTTCCCTGACCCAGTCTCTGCTAAACCAATTATGTCTTTACCTGTTGGTGAGATTTAACAGATCAAAAACAGTTTTCCATTTTTGATACTCTAATCAAAACACACAGGATGGTGAGAGAACACAAGAGGAGTGTAGGAAACCATGAGGCGTAGGAGTGGTTTCCAGCTTCTCAAGTGTTCTCCCAACATCCCCATCTAATGCATCTGGAGGCGTCACCTCCCCAAGTTTTCTAGCACAACAGTTTGGTGATATCCATAGTAAACGATTGTTTGGTAACATAAAAGAAAGAAACAGTAATGATAAAAAGGTAAGTCATACACAGTGAAAAGATGAAAAAACTTACTGCCGTTTCGGACGCTAGTCCTTCATCTGAGTAAAAGTTTTTTCATCTTTTCACGGTGTATAATTTACCTTTTTATCATTACTGTTCCATTAGAAACGCCGACGCAGCTCACACTAGTTTTTAGCTAGTTATATCTTCTTAAAAGAAAGAAATAACAGTTTCCTCTTCATCTCAAACTTTTTCCTCCTATTTATAGCCAACCCACCCCCAAAATATTATAAGTCATAAGCCACCCTTCCCAAGTACGTGTAAATTGCTTCACACAAAAGCGACATCCCCAAAGCACAGCTCATTTCCACTGAATTCAATGGGATTAAACTTAAAAGAAACGTAACAGTCATTACAAAATACTGTTTTAACTGAATATTTCGGAATCTCAAATTTCGAAGTCACGTGGAAAGGCGTGGACATATTTCACATTCAAATATTGCCCTACAAATAAATATTTCGCCCCTAAAAGCAACTAAAATCAATAAAGAATTGAATAAGACAATAATTTCGGGCTTTTTTCCAGGTATTTACCTTGCAGGGCTATCGGTATAGATTCTTTTTGTATAAGTGTTGGAGTCTTCCAGCCAAGCTGTTGACACGCTTCACAGAGAGACTCTACAATTCCCTAAAAAAGACCCCAAAATACAATAAATCAAAACTTAAACTTGACAAAAAGCAACGTTGTTAATTAAACTCTTAATATGAAGGAAAATTTAAGAGTTTTTTTCAGCTTACCAGGGACTTAAACGTGATTTCTTGGAGAGCTTTGTCTTCACTCGTGTCCCTCGCCATTTTGAATTTCTAAGACCGTGTTGTATTCTGGGTAAAGTATTTTCACTTCCGGTCCTGTCTATCACCATGGTAACCTCTGAAAACCAAAATGGCGGATGGCTAGAATAAAACAACAGAAACAAGACGAACTATAAAATATAATTATTAACTACAAATTACTAATTATTGAACATTTTAATCAGGTAATATCTATAGCTCGTTTGTCATATATTCTAGGGTTGTTTTTTCAGGTGAAAATGTTGTGAAATAAAGAATGTATTTGTGTTTTATTTTGCAGGAGAGAGAGAGAAAATGTCATCAAGTCGTGTCAGTCCAAGGACGCCAAGAACGCCGAGAGAAAAAACGAAAAGACCCTCTACTCGTGAGCAAAAGAGTCCTACTAATATGAAACCAAGCCAAGATAGGGCTAAGAGATCCGAGGCGCTAATTCAAGAGCAGGTTTGTAAGAGTTTAAATATTAAAAAGCTTAATTAAAATCAGGCTTAATATATAAGCTTTAATTAGCTCAATTGGTAAATGAGTTAAGCTTCAGAATAATTAGATACTGGGTGTCAGAAACATCTGCAAGGTTTGAATAACAAATTTGAAAAGTTGTGGATATTCTTTGTTTACTTTTGAATTTGAATTTGCCCGACGCACATGAGATCATTATTGAAGCATCTAATTGAGCTGATCTGCGCAGTTTATCAAGCAACTTATGCAGCTGCTAATTATAAGACTCAGAAAAAATTCTGAGTCTTGAACGGGATTTGAACCTGTGCCTGACGATTCCAGTGCCATGCCCTAACCACTGAGCTACCAAGTCTCATATGAGATTTACAAGTCTTATATATCAAGTTTTATAATGAGCAGCTGCATTAGTTGCTTGATATACTGGGCAGATCAGCTCAATTAGATACAACATTACCACAGTACAAATATATAGTCTATATATATTCTCATATACATATATATCCTTTCTGGCTAATAAACCCACAAATATGTCGTGATCTGGCGCATGCTGATAGCTAGAATTATCTGTAGGTTCTTGACCAATGAGAATTCAGATATTGAGTACAATGTATAATAATATGCAATTATTAGATGAGGTTGAGCTCATGTTGGTTGGGCACTGGACTGCTGTTGTGCAGGAGGTTGTGGGTTCAAGCCTCAGCAGCTGGACCAACCCTTAGGGTCTTAAAATATCTGAGTAAAAGATACAGCGCTACAATTAAAAAAATTTTTTTTTGGTAATTTTAGGTTTTACTGATCAAAGACACACAAAATGCTATTGATAGGATTTTACAGGACATAGAGAGAGAATCTGAGGTAACTGAATGATTAAAATGAACTAAGTACAGTGTATCTAGTTGTAATTTTTGGCACTGCATCATTCCCTTGAGAATAATGATTCTTTGTTTGAGTCATATCCATATGCATGTGTCTTCTCACGATCGTGCAACACTGTTAAACAATTACAGTCGACTCTCCCGTAAGTGACAGCCCCGGAGCCAGGAGAAAGTGGTCGCTTACGGGAGATGGTCGCATACGAGAGAGTTAACACAGGAAGCCCAAATAATGGGAATCCCAAAACAGTAAGCCTAAACCGTTATTATAATTTGTAACTCACGTGTTAAAACTACTGTATGTTAACGATTAAACTGTTTTAGTCAAAACTTTGAATGTGCTATATGTTTAAAGTACTATAATTGTCAATGTTTCGTCGGGTTTTTAATACCTAATGACTCTTATGTTCTTAAATTGTTTATTGTTAATGGATCTGTCATTGACTGGGTCTTGGGTGGCCGCTTACGAGAGAGAAAAAACAATGAAAAATTCCAAAATTTTAACCCCAAAGGTGGTCGTGGTCGCTTACGAGAGTGGTCGCTTACGTGAGAGTTTTTGTATAGAGTTTATATGGGGAACAAAACGGGAAATTCAAAAGGTGGTTGCTTACAGGAGATGGCCGCTTACGAGAGTGGTCGTTCAAAGAGAGTCGACTCTATACTCTGGGGAATGACATGTGGTCTGAGATGGGAAAACATTGCACCAAGATGGATATAAATTCTTATTTTTCTGTACAGCAGGGAGATGTTGATAAACAAGAAGAAGAAGAATTACAGGTCCTATTGAACAAGAGTCAAGAGTTATTAGTGATGCTTCAGGTAATATTATTGATAATATTGGGAAGCATGGGTGGCATAGCAGTGAGAGCACTAAGGGGGGCATGGCCATCCTACACAGCCAAGATCCATCACAGTTTGGGCTTAAAAATAATGTCAGATTCAAAAGGCCAAAATTGCCTCCCTCCTCTACACCCTTTGGCTATATAAATACTTGCAATATAACCCTAATTCTATTCATAAAGTCTGAACTATGTAGTTCCAGAAATCATCCATACCCACCCCACAGAGGAATTTGGAATTTCTGAAGAGTAGGGGGTCAGAGAAAGAACAAAAATTACAGAGTTTGTATGGAAGAAAATTGGAATTTCCAGGGGTAGGGGGGGTGTCTTAAAAAAATTCCTCCGTGAGGGGGGTATGGATAAATTTTGGAACTAAACATTGTAAACTATGTGTTTTCACATACATAGGTGCTGATGAAGATTCGTAATGAACTAGCATATGCCAGACTTGATCTTGAGAAATCCATCAAATCTGACTATGGGGTGAGTAAAATAATATTATAACTTATCTGTGGTATTAGATTTTGTATTTACTAAATTGCTTTTTAACTTGTGAAGATTTTGAGCTACCAATCCAGTTTATATCTATGTATTTTGATTTTTATACGCTGTGATTACAATTGTTGCAGGTTGAGACAGCTAAAAAGAGAGTCAAGTGGCTCCAACAAAGACTTGAAAAGGTTCTGGGAACAACCAGGGAATATTGTCAGATGACTATTAAATGCAATGAGGAAAATGTAAGACATCATACATTGTCCATCCATACATCTGTCCTTCAATCCATCCATCCGCTATCTGTCTCTCTATCCCTTCAACCCTCCATTCAACCCTCCATTCATCCCTCCATCCTTCCCTCAATCCATCCATCCATCCATCCCACACCCCATGCATCCATCCATCC